CTCAGGTGACGAGCAACGGCAGCGCCGGGGGAGGGGACGGGGCCGAGACGCCGCGACAGCCCCAACAACCCCCCCCCAACGCCTGGCAGGTCATCAAGGGGGTCCTGTTCAGGTGAGCCCCCAAAACCGGGGTCAGGGGCACCCCACAAACCACGGGGGGGACAGCAGGACCCAAAAAAGCCAGGGGGGGACCTCAAAATCGTGGGGGGTGACATCAGGACCCCAAAAGTCCAGGGGGTGATCCCAAAACCATGGGGGGTGACACTGGGACCCCAAAACTCCAGGGGGTGATCCCAAAACCGTGTGGGGTCACACCAGGACCCCACAAACCCTGGCGGTCACACTGGGACCCCAAAACTCCAGGGGATGATCCCAAAACCCTGTAGGTCCCACCAGGACCCCAAAACTCCAGGGGGTGATCCCAAAACCCTGTAGGGTCCCACCAGGACCCCAAAACTCCAGGGGGTGACCCCAAACCTCCAGTGGATGATCCCAAAACCCTGTAGGGTCCCACCAGGACCCCAAAACTCCAGGGGGTGACCCCAAAACCCTGGGGGTCACACCAGGACCCCACAAACCCTGGCGGTCACACTGGGACCCCAAAATTCCAGGGGATGATCCCAAAACCATGGAGGTCACCCCAGGACCCCAAAATTCCACAGGGTGACCCCAAAACCCTGGGGGTCATATTGGGACCCCAAAACTCCAGGGGGTGACCCCAAAACTCCAGGGTGTCACCCCAAAACCACAAGGGGGGACCCCAAAACCGGGTGGGGATCGTCCCGGGGTTTTTTCCGGAGCTGCTTCCCGGTTTTCCCGGGATCGCAGGGTCGGGGTCAGGGTCCGGTCCCGGAGCTGCCGCTCCCGGGGATCCAAAGTCCGGGGGTGGATCCTGGAGCGGTGCCAGGAGGAGACTCGTGGGGAAAGGATCCAGGGAAATGGGATCCGTAGGGAAGGGATCCATGGAAATGGGATCCATAGGGAAGGGATCCATAGGGAAGAGAGCCATGGAAATGGGATCCATGGGGAAGGGATCCATGGGGAAAGGATCCATGGGAATGGGATCCATAGGGAAGGGATCCATAGGAATGGGATCCATAGGGAAGGGAACCACAGGGAAAGGATCCATGGAAATGGGATCCACAGGGAAGGGGTCCATGGGAATGGGATCCATAGGGAAGGGATCCATGGGAGTGACATTCACAGGGAAGGGATCCGTGGAAATGGGATCCATAGGGAAGAGTTCCATAGGAATGAGATCCATAGGGAGAGGATTTACAGGGAACAGATCCATGGAAACGGGTCCATAGGGAAGGGATCTGTAGGGAAGAGTTCCA